CAAAATCTTCCAAAATCTTCCAAAATCTTCCAAAATCAATAGATTCGATGAGCAATAATCATGAATAAATGTGAAAAAACCAAAACAACATGCAAAAAATCTAGCGAACACGTGATTTAGTTTTTTGAAAAATCTAATAATTTATTCATGATTCGCTTCTAAACACCGAATGACTTAAAAATATTTTAGAACAATTAAGAACAAAAGTTCGAATAGCACAAAAGTTCGAATAGAACAAAGATTTAAGTTCGGAACATCGAACTTGATTTTAGATCGTTTTTGCTTCATGACACACTACAATTCCAACCCCATGAATAAAGTTTATTTTTATTCGTTAAAGCAAAACAATGGCCAAATCCACAAGCTATTATTTTAACATTTTTCAAACCGGTTTTTACGAAAATCTTGTACGATGAATCTGAATTTCCTGTTAATTGACCTTTAGAATTACATCCCATAGCTAAAACAGTACCATCTTGTCGTAACAATAACAAATGAAATTGTCCACATGCTATCATTTCAAAACGATCATTACCGGTGGAAATCAATCGAAAAGTATTGTTCGTTTGCCATCTTGTCTCACTACTGGCTATATAGACTAATCCATCATCAGTTAGAACGACAACAAATTCATTGCCCGAATCGATTTGAATAATTTTCTTGTCATTCAAAATGCCAATTTGTTGTGGTCGTTTGGGATCATGTTTTAACGATAACCATCTGCATATTTCTTCACCATAAGCATAAGTTGCATTGTTAGTGATGCATAGAAAACCAATTTTCTTCCAATTTTCATTGGTTATTTTAAAAATGGAAACAATGTTTCCAATAAATTTGTGATCAATATCTTTGAAATCATCTTGAAATAATTCGATATTCACATCAGTATCAGTTGGTAATTTTTTCATCGTTTTTTTTTCTCTCTCACAACAATGGTCTGCTACACAATACACAAACAAATCATCGAATGTAATGAACACAATATCTGAGCAAAATTCTCAAAATGATAGACGATAGTGTGCAATAACAACCATAAAAACACAAAAAATTGATTGTCACAAAAGGAACTGGTCATAAATGATCGTTTATCATAATTAATACCTTTACACCCATCTATATTTTGTTTGCTTTTTATCAAAAAAACAAACTAAAAAATTTCTGGATACATCTCTATCATCGATGATAATCTCCCTCATCCCGGATCTATTTTTTTTATGGCCAGATTTCCAAAAATTGGATTAAATCATAAACAATACTTATGATTAATTGCATATCCATAATAATAATGTTATATTTATCAAAAAATGTATCATGATGATTATAAATCTTAAAAAGATACTCGTATTGGATAATAAAAAGTAATTTTTTAATTGATTTCAAATGAAAATTACAACAAAAAAAAACAAATTTAATGTGACGATGGAGGGTTATTATCATAAAATATTGTTGATCATATACATTGAACAATGATTTTAATGATGATTATCAAAAACAAAACATAAATTACTCTTGCTGTTGTTGTTGTTGATGTTTAGAAAACCATTCCAGAAAATTCATGAAATTTTTACTATTCATTGAAAGATTATCATTAACAAATTTTNCTGGCTTAAAAGATTCATTTTTGATTGTCACTTTTGACTATTTTTTTCCAAAAAAAAGATTGCTGTTCAGAAAAAAAGAGGTACAATTAATGAATATTGTGTGCATTTTTATCAAAAAAAAAAACAAACTAAAATATTTCTGAATTCATCTCTATCATCGATGATAATTTCCCTCATCCCGGATCTATTTTTTTGTTGGCCCGATTTCCAAAATTGGATTAAATCATAAACAACACTTGATTGCATATCCATGTGATGTATCGAAGATTTTGTCCTGATATTTTTGAACGGGATCAATAACATTTCGTTTTTCCTTGGAAATCAAAAGTCAAAAGTTCGAAGATAATAATAGAAATTGGCAATCGGTTTTGGCAGTAATCATCATCACTAAATTAATATGCAGAAATAATTAATAAAGAACATTAATTATAATCACCAAACATAAATAAAGAGGCGACATGATATCATCAAAGTCACCCAAAGCATAAAAAAAATTGTCAAAGGAATGTTATTGTAAACAAAAATGACATGAACATCAACCGAATTGATAGCCAAATTTGGTTATTAAAATGATGATCGCAGTACGATTAATTGCCAAAAAAATGATTAAAACATTGACGGAAATTGTGATTAACCAATCACAATCGAGGCCGTTGAATATCAGAGAAATTATCTTTTGGACGAAAGCCTAAGACGAAGTAAAATCTTGGCAAAAGAACATCTTGGAAGAAGTACGTCTTAAGAAAATCTGGTATATAAAGACGCCCGAGAAAACGGAGAAAATTATCCTATTTTGAAAGTTCTGAATGTAATCATTTACAAGAACAACGCAACACATTACAATATTTGATTCAACCATTTCATTTATTAATTTTTTTATCATTTATAATTCATCGTTAATTTAATAAAATTCTTTATTAAAATTTTAACTTGTGTAAATTTGTTTATTTTCCGTTACCGACTTCTTATCGTGCTTACCGGACATTTAATCTAATTCCGATTAACACATTGGGTCGAAATAAGTTCAAGCCAACGTCGAAATAGCTGACAGATCCCTAACGAATACTTTCGTATATGACATCCATAATAATACTTTATTACGAAAAAAGTTTTTTAACAAATTTAATTAACAATTGTTATACAAAACAAAAAATGAAAATGTTATATTTGTCAAATGTATCAATCGGAAACAAAATCTTTTTCAGTTATCGTCAATTTTTTTTTCGTTTGCAAGGCAAATCTTTTGTTTCACAAAAAGATTGTTGTTCGAAAAACAATCCCAAAAATTTTGTAATATTACTGATTTTTGGTATAACATCTTTGATTGTTAATTCGACAAGTTTATCATTCATATCATTAAGTTCATATTTACTGATTAATGGAAGATAAATGAATAAAGTTTGCTTATTGAGATCCCTTCGTATGAATGTTCGACAATGTTTCATTAATCGTTCATCACAATAACAATTGGCCAGATCAATAAATTCGGCTATATTGTATCGATTGATTCGTATGTCGCCAGTATGTAACATCAATAGATATGAATAATATGTATCATAACTATAATCTTTGATGATCACTTGGTCATTTTCTTGCCAATCACCCGAAAACATTCGACTATAATATTTTGATGCCATTTTTAGGTAACATTTACAAGCCATTATACGTTTATCATCAAAGACAAATTCGATATCATAATTATCCGGATTATTAAATAATGCAATATTTGATATTGTAAAATGTTCTTCGTATATTTCGATGGTTGATGTTAAACCAAAAGTGATTGGTGATCCGTATTGCATTGCTGATGCTGCAACGAATGATTTCAGTTGACCATCCAATTTTTTCAGCGGTAAAAATTGATTGATTACATAATATTGTAATGATTGATCCATAATCAATGAAAAATCAAGATAATTTTTACAAGCAACACTTTGTACATTTTCGATTGGAATTTTTGTTGGCAAAGATTCATCTTGTTTTTTATCATTAATAGGATGTTGACCATAACCACATCCAAAAATTTGACCATCCTCCAATAAAAATAAAGAATGCCATCCACCGGCCACAATATTTTTGATTTGACTATCAATCGAACAATTAGGAAATGAAACAAGTGATGGTGTTCTTCGGTTATTTGTATTGCCTAGACCTAACTGTCCATACTCATTCCCGCCCCAGGAATAAATTTCATTCGTATCGGTGAGAGCAAGACTATGGCCACCACCACATGCTATTATTTTGACATTATTCAAACCAGTGTTCACAAGTTCATTATACGATTCGTGCAAATTACCGGTCAATTGACCAGTAGGATTATAACCCAAAGCGAAAACAGTACCATCTTGTCGTAACAACAAGAAATAAAACATTCCACATGCTATCATTTCAAAACGATCATTACCGTTAGAGATCAATCGAAAAGTATTTTTCGTTTGCCATCTTGAATCACTACTGGCTAGATACACTAGTCCATCATCAGTTAGAACGACAACAAAATCGTGACCAGAATCGACTTGAATAATTTTCTTGTCATTCAAAATGTTAATCTGTTGTGGTCGTTTGGGATCATGTTGTAACGATAGCCATTTGCATATTTCATCACCATAAACATAGGTAGCATCATTGGTCATACATAGAAAACCAATTTCCTTGCTTGCATTGGTTATTTTAAAAATGGAAACAATGTTTCGAATAAATTCCGGATTGATATCTTTGAAATCATTTTGAAATAATTCGATATCCACCCAAGTATCGGTTGGTAATTTTTTCATCGTTTTTTCTTGAAAATTCAATTTCAATCGCAGCAAAAAAACCAATATTCAACAATGATCTGCTACACAATACACAAGAAAATCACAAAATGTAATGCAATACCTGAGCAAGACAGAATCTCAAATGACAAACAGTGTATGCAATAGCAAACACTCATCCAACACAGCAAAAAAAAAGAATGGATTGAAACGATTGGAGTCTCCAAGGACCTACTTGATCGATATTTATCATAATACTCGATTGATCAATTGATTGAAAATACCTTTACACCCATCTATATTGGGTGCATTCTTATCAAAAAAAACAAACTAAAAAATTTCTGGATACATCTCTATCATCGATGATAATCTCCCTCATCCCGGATCTATTTTTTTTTTGGCCAGATTTCCAAAATTGGATTAAACAACACTTGAGATTAATTGCATATCCATAATAATACTTTATTACAAAAAAAGAAGTTTTTTTTAATTTGATTAACATTGTTATACAAAAACAAAAATGAAAATGTTATGATAGTCAAATGTATCAATCAGGTGAATCGAATAGAAAATCATTTTCCGTTATCGTTAATTTCGGTTGATTTTTTTCGTTTGCAAGGCGAATCTGTCGTTTCACATAAAGATTGTTGTTCGAAAAACCATTCCAAAAATTTTGTAATATTGTTTTTGTTTTTCGGTATAACATCTTTGATTGTTAATTCGACAAGTTTATCATTCATCCCATCAAGTTTATATTTACTGATTAATGGAAAATAAGTAAATAAAGTTCGTCCATTCAGATCAATTCGTATGAATGTTTGACAATGTTTCATTAATTGTTCATCAC